ATGTGCAGGAGTGGGATGGCTGGGCTGTGTGGTGATGTTTTATGTTACACACTTACTGATTACCAGTAAGAATGTCCGCTGGATGCGGGTGCACCACGTCTTCACCAAGACTCGGTGTTGGTCTTTCTGACATTAGCCGTGCTGGGGGCCTCCAAGTGGTTAGTTTGCGTGTCCCTAATTACTAGTAATACGTCTTCCGCTGTCCATGTCTCATCTTTGATTAAGCATCTTAATGTCATTGCCGTTACTTAAAAGTGGGTTGTTTATCTTATTACTGAGGTGTGATTTATCTTATTACCGAGGTGTGGTTTTTACATATTCTGTTTTTGCCAATATTTTCAGTTAGTTTGAGGCCAGCCTTTTTCTTTTCTTCTAGGAGTGTCTAATTACGAGCCAGGTTAGGAGGCATATGCTTGCAGTCCCATCTACTTGAGAGGCTGACATGAGGCAATCACGTGAGCCCAGGAGTTTAAGGCCAGCCTGGGCAACATAGTGAGATCCTTTTTTTTTTTTTTTTTTTTGGGGGGGGGGGGGGTTCTAATTATGATGAAGTCAATTTGTCATTTAGCCAATTTATGCTTCTTTTTATGATCACTGCTTTTCATTTTGTATCTGACAAATCTTTGGGTAACCCAAGATTACCAAGATTTCCTACTGTGGTTTCTTTCAGAAGTCTTTTTTTAGCTCTAACATTTATATCCATTGGTAAACTTTTATACATGGTGTGAGGTAGGCAGTGGGGTTCATTCTTCCATGAGGGTGTCCACTTGTCCCCGCATCAGTCCCTGAGAAATCCAGGCAACTTTTTCACCCACAGGGTAACCTCACTGAACTCGCTTCTGTGGATCCCACAAGCTTCCAAAATAGAAAGTTTTGAAAAACGTGGGTGCAGCCAAGACAGTTAAATGGGGAAGGACAGTCTCAGCAATCTGTGCTGATCAAGAACAATGTGATCACAGGCAGAAGAACACAGCTGGGCTCCCACTTCACACAGAAATCAAAAGTCAACTCAAAATTGGGTCAAAGACTTAATAAGAGCCAAAAATAAAATTCTTAACCGGATATAAATCTTCATGACCGTGGATTAGGCAATAGTGTCTTAGCTGTGACACCAAAAGCACACACAAAAATATTAAATGAAATAAAACAAATTGGACTCCTTCAAAATTAAAAACTTTGTGCTTCAAATGATACCATTAAGATCATAAAAAATACACAGAAAGGAGAACACTCTTCAATACCATACATCTGACAGGTGACTTACGCTGCTAATGGAATTATAAAAATAGCACAGCCACAGTGGGAAACAGCTTGGGATTCCACCCCTAGATGTGTAACCAAGAGAAAAGAAACCTTATGTTCCCATAATGATTGTAGCATTATTATTCCCAGTGGCCGAAAACTAAAAACAACCCATGTCTGTTAGTTGATAAGCCGATAAACAAAATGTGGCCAGTACCTGTCCAGTGCAGTGCTATTTGGCAATATGAAGGAATGATGTAATCCCTGCTAGTGCGTGGAGGGGCCCTGAAAAGACACTAAGCCCTGGTCACAAAACCCGCACACTGTGCAACTGCACTTGTTCGAAATATCTAGAATAGGGAAACCAAGAGAAGGGAAGGACGCTGGTGCTGCTGGTATATCACTAAAACCCGCTGAGGTGTGAACTTTAAATGAGTGCACTGTAGGGCGACCATGTGCACGGTACTGGGACCTAAACCCAGGGGTCCTCTGCTATTGAGCTCCACCCCCAGCCCTTTTTAAAATTTCATTTTGAGACAGAGTCTCACTAAATTGCTGAGGCTGTCCTCAAACCTGCAATAGTGCTTCCTTAGCCTCGTGTGCCAACACACACAGCCTTGACAAGCATTATATCTCAATTTTTAAAAATTCTATTCTTTCAATCATTCAGACATAATCTTTGGGAAAACAGTAAAGTCTAGGTGAGTGGACACCCGTGGACACAAGAAGTGTGCGCACGTTTCAAGAGTTCCATTTGGGTGGAAGGCGGTGTGCTCGTTCCTCTTGGCCCTGCACTAGTAGGGGTGAGACGCCTGCAGCCCAGCAGCGGCTGCAGCAGCACAGTGGGTGGCAGGTGTGGAATGGGCAGATATCCAATTGCCACATTCCCACTGCCACCAGTTTTCTATCATGAATACCAGGAGAGGCCTCCAATGCAAACTGCCCCATATGGCGAGCAGCTGGATAAACAACCATCTGGATTGCGGTCTGAGCACGTTCCTCAGGTGGAGTTTTCCTGAGGGAGGCTGGGGCCCCAGAAGGAAATGCCAGCGCCCGCCAGCCAGCAAGGCCCCCTCCCGACAGCCCCCTCCACAGCACAGCCTTCCCCAGGCACCTGTGGATGCACACAGCCTCCTGCGGGGCTCCTCCAGGCACCACAGCCTTGAGGTGCGCAGATCACTCCAGCTCTCTGCAAAGAGCCCTGGGTCCAAGGCTGAGTCCTTGGAGAGCTGGCCAGGTGCTTCCCTTCCCTGGCTTCACTGGTGGCTATCTGACGTCTCAGAGGTGCTTTCCAGATCAATTATAGGCTTCCAATTAACCTTGTGTGTACTTTTCTTTGGTGCTAGGGATTTAACCTAGGGGAGCTTAACCACTGAGCCACATCCCCCGCTCCTTTTTTTTTTTTTATTTTGAGACAGAGTCTTGCTAAGTTGCTGAGGCTGGCTTTGAACTTGCGATCCCCCTGCCTCAGCTTCTCAAGCCACTGGTCACAGGCGTGCACCACGTGCCTGGCTTGTGTGTATCTTCATGTAAAGTATTCTATATATATTGAACATATCTCCACCTTATCAATAGCTGTCCATCTTACCTCCTTGCCCATTTGATCATCTTTCATCAATGTCAGATATAGTAGTATCTGAAACTCTCCATCACTGTTAATCTTGGCCAGTGACCTCAAGCCCATCTTGGTTTAGTGAGATCATTTCTCCCTCAAAGCCACCTGTGCATCTGCTCAGGTGAGCTGGCCTTCACAGCACTGCAGTGACTGTCATGAGGCTGCCATTCTTGGGCTTGGCTCTCTGGCCCTTCTGTCAGCCTTTAATTCCTTCCTTCTGATTCCAGCTGTGCTCTGCAGTTGAGGTGACCAGACAAGGGAGTGAAGCAGGACAGGAGCAGATGATTAACTTACACAGAAGGACGCTTTCCACACAATCCTGAGTTCCCCAGGACATGCTGACACCGGGCCTTGCCCCGATTCAGCAGTTCTACTTTTGTCTTTATTGTAAAAACTAAAAGGAGTATATTTAGTGAAAACACCTAAACTCTTTTTGCTCCCAAAGAAGAAAAGCCTGGGGAGGCAAAGATTTGCTCCCTCTGGCTTGGAGGCTGCGCCGTGGCCCCATGCTGGAGCCAGCCCAAGCCCCTGTCGTCCCCGGAGCCCCACGTGCTGCTGCCAAGCACAGCCTGGAAGCTGAACTGCCACGTCCACACACTCTCCTTTATGTTCCTCAAACAGTTGTTATTAATTTAGAAGAGCTTGAGGTTTAAAAATCAACCAGCACTTTCCGCTTAAGTCACTTAGGTATACATTTTCTCCTAACAACTGTTCTGCCGAAATCGGTCATTATCTGTAAGCGGACCCCATGCCCACCCACTTTAGGGTCTGGATGCGTTCTTGCTTTCTGGCGGCTTAATGCACAGGGTGCTGGCAGCAGTTCTTACAGGGAGCTGGCTCCTTTAAAAGTTGTGACGCATCTTTGTCCCCACACAACCTCACTTGAGGGAGCTAAGCTGTTCAATCCAGCAAGTATCTGCCTCCCAGGAAGCTGTGCCAGCTGGGTCCCAGCCTGCCCCCTTTTCTCCTGGGACTGACTGGCAGACCACGCTTCTCAGGTCGCCTCACTGTCCTTCACAAGGCTTGTGGAGGCCACTGTGGCTTTGGTGTTGGCCAGGGTGGGGCCTGCATCAGACTTGAGCCATCCCCAGGTGGCCGTTTCCGTATCAGGCACGGTGGCAGGACACACAGACAAGAGAACCTTGAAATCTCATGATGAACCAACCTAGAGTTGTTGGCATATGACCCCGAACCCTACAACATGACTCCTAAGAGCAGATGGAAGTCTGTGGGAACTGAGCAGATGGGTTCTTGCTTCCCAGCTGTGAAGATGCCTGTAAAGCAAGCTCAACTGTCATGACACAGACGTGGCAGTTCTGGTAGGCAGGAGGCTCCCAGGTCCTGCTATGAATAACGTGTCCAGAGGCGTCGCAGCGTGTGGGGGAGCCCTACCTGCCCTGGAGTGGCGAGCCTAGACACGGGGAAAGTGCACCCTGTCTCCTGCAGTGGCTACAGAGTAGGGTGCAGCTCATCATGGAGCCTTCCCCTTGGTGCAGTGGGCGTCAGGGGGGATCCCAGGGGCTGTGCTCTGCAGTTGAGGTGACCAGACAAGGGAGTGAAGCAGGACAGGAGCAGATGATTAACTTACACAGAAGGACGCTTTCCACACAATCCTGAGTTCCCCAGGACATGCTGACAAACATGGATAAACAACCATCTGGATTGCGGCCTGAGCTGGGAGGATGCACAGTCCAGGAGCATCTGCTGTGGCAGTGTGGCAGCCACCACCCTCAGAGGCTCAGGGTGAAAGGCTTGGTGGCAGATGCCAGACCTCTGAGAACAGTCTTCACAGCTCAGGGCCAGGTTAGCAGACCTGAGCAAGGGGGCCTGCGACCAGGCTTGAGTGGGCGGCAGGCGGTGAAATCAGAGTTGTACAGTGGTTGGTCATGTGAGATGAAGAAACAGGGGAGGTGACAGGTCACGGGAATGTGGAGGCTGCCTGGCATTGGAGAGATCTCGAAAAGGGTGGGCCTGTGTGACAACAGGTGAGGCAGGATGAAGGAGTGGGGCCGTGCACTCGGCCCTGGCACAGGGCTCTCAACTCCAAGTGGGGTTCTCCCTGACTCCCAACCAGTCCCCAGAACCCCAGCTCAGGGCCTCTTCCTCCTCCCTCACGGATCTGTGTAACCACTTCTCCCACCAGGAGAAGTACCCCGACACTGTGCACCTCTCGGAGGGGTCCTGCTCCAGCTGCATGGAGATCCGCAGCGCCAGGAGGCCAGGGTGAGTGCGGGCCGCTGCGGCCTGGAGTCCCTGTGAAACAGGGATTCTCAATAGAAGGGAAACTATCCCCTGAGGACCAGAGACCGTCGGGTGGAGGAGAAGTGGGCAGGCCGTTCTGCACCCTGTGAACATTACCACCACAGGAAACGCAGACAAGTGCCTATTGGCCTGGGCCTCAGTTCCACTGAGGGGTTTTAAGGAGCAAATGTAGGGGGCGCTGGGAGGAGGAGGAGGTGTGTGTGGAACCACTGCACAAATGGAAGGACGGAGGCTGGGGTGAGGAAGCCCCTGAGGCCAAGTCAGAGAAACCGCTTCAGGGCTCCTCACACGGCCACCTCCCTTCACTGGCCACACTCTGCCCAGAGCCATTGCCCTGCCCATGTTCCTCAGCCTCCTGCCTCAGCCCCTGTGCATCTCCCTGTGCATCTCCCTGTGCGCGCCTCTTCAAGCCTTCAAACAGGTAGTCTTCTGCAGGCGTCCTTCTGCCCCTGACCCATGACCACAGTGCGTTCATTTTTACTCCTCACCCTCTGGTAGGTCAGTCCACCAAAATGCCTGGCTGCCTCAGCTCTCGAGCGTTTAGGATCTTCGTCCCTGTCTGTTTCTCCCAGCCCACACTACATAGGCTTCTCTTGGGCTCAGATATTGAGGCACGAAATTCTCCAGCCGTGGAGTAGAGGCACACACGGCTTTGTCAGTGCCAGAGTATTTCCAAGGAAGATGACCCTCTGCACCGGCACCAGCCATGTGCAAGTTCCTGTCGCTCTGCGTCCTGTCTACATCCAATTCTTGCCAGTGTGGTCCTGGTTCCCCTTGACCACCTTTTCCCTCCTCTGGGGTGGATGTCTTTAGGAGCAAGGAAGCCAGAATAGAGAAAAGGAGCTAAAAACCAGATTTCAAAAGCACTGGCCAATGTGTTTTACCTCTTTCAGGTTTGAATTGGTGATTGTTTGGAGAATACAGATAGATGAAGAAGGGAAGGTTTCACCAAAGCTGGACCTGCTCACCAAAGTCCCTCAGCGAGGTAGGGCTCTGGGTACGGATGTCCTTTCTAGGGGACTTCTCAGTCAAAGCTAGGTGTTGTTCATCTGGCTTAGTGTACTTTGTACACTGAGTAATTACTAATAAGAACATTTAAAAACCAAAAAGCATAAGAGTGATCGTTCCCCCACAGCCCTGCCGGCCGAAGGCAGGGAGAATGTTCTCTGCCTCAAGACATGGGTGAGATCACATCTCTCTGCTCCGGGGCTAGTGCCTCCAGGTCCATGTGATCCTTCAGGAGGAGGAGGGGTCTTGGGGACGCCAACAGCTCAAGGTTTCTTACCTGGTTTATTTTTTTCTTTATAGCTCTGGAGCTGGACAAGAACAGAGTCCTAGAAACCGCCCCTCAGAGCTTCCGAACCCTGCTAGAAGTGCTTGGAATTGAAGCCGCTCTAGAAAGCCTGATAAAATTACTTTGTGCAGAGAATGACTAGTTCCCACACAGGGAAGGAACAAGATGGTGCACCGAAAAGCGTGCGACCTATATTGACTCTAAGTGTACTATCTACCTTCCCCTCAGAAACCACACCCTTAGCTGGATGCATTTGACACCTGCCTACCATCCCAGCTACTTGGGAGGCAGAAGGATCAAGTTTGAGTCCAGCCTCAGCAACGTAGACCCCGTCTCCAAAGAATAAACCAATGCTGGGCACGTCGCTCAGTGGTAAAACGATTGCCTGGCATGCATGAAGCCCTGGGTTAAGGCCCCATCACTGCCCAAAACAAGCTGTGTGCAGTTATGCTACATCAGACTCTCATGGCGTGAAAAATACAGCTGTTCATGTACAAAATGTCAAACAGAATTGAACATTTGAGAAGACATACCAAGAGTGGTTCTCCCTCCCTTGATGTGTGTGGACCAGCTTGGGCCCCCACCTCACCTCACAGTCTGCCCAGAGACGGAGCCACGCGTGGTCCAGCCCTGAGAAGCCATCCACCTCCTGCCACCTGGGGGGTCTTGGAGGCAGTTGTTGATGGAGCTTCATTTCTTAACATTCCTCAGAAGCCAGAGCAGCCACGCCTGCCCCGCTGGCTGCACAGCAGCACCTCTAAGTCCTGAACCTCTTGGTCTCCCCAGAATCTGCACGGCTGTTAACGTCAAAACAGTGCCAGATGACAGCCACCCAGCACTGCTCCCTTCTCACAGGACCTTCACTAGAGAACCCCAGAGGGCCTGAGTGCTACACCATAATTTCAGATGAGAACTAGAGCTGGGAGCCCCTCCATCACCCGTAAGTCAGGGTCAGTGAGGGTTTTCACGCCATTGGGGCATCCTGGAGTCTGAGCACAGCAGCGGGGACGTGGCAGGGCTGGAGACCAGCCTCAGCACCACCTGCCAGACGGAGGGCCGAGACCTAGGCTGGGGCGCTCCCTCCTCCCTCCTATGAGAATACAGCCTGCTTGTTTTCATTCCGCCCATCCAGCTGGATGAGGCCCCTTGCCAGGCTGTAACACTACTCCCCAGCCCACCTCCCCGAGAGCCTGGGGTTCTGGCAGAGGGATGCTACCTCAAGAGCATGGCGTAGCCCAGGACACAGTGCACCACCTTGTGCAGAAACCTGTCCCAAGTGACGCCGCCCAGGCCCGCAGCAACAAACCATCCTGAATCCAAACAGTGCTAATGGCCACTTCCCACCCTCCACAGCCTCGAGCTGAGCTTTGTGGACGTGACTGGGGGTGGACCTCCAAAGCCCCACCCTAGCACACATACCACGCAAGCTGAAGGAAAAGGGGCCAGTGTGTCCAGACACATGACTATCTTTTTGTGCCCGAGTATAGAATAAAGCAAATGTAAGGACAGAATTCAAGAATCAATTCTAGAAGAGTTGGCTTGATTCAAACAAGTGTAATTCTCAAGTTATCGCAAAATTTCCCACAAAAATTTTACAATCAACAAAATATTTTCATTTTTCATGTAGCATTTTCATACAATTCCATGGTTTCACTAATATTATGTTACAATAAGCCTTCATTAGTCCCTCAAAATTATATAAATAATCAGTCTGTACAACCTGCCATGGGGAAGGGGAGGCCAAGAGTCCCAACAATTTTATAGCAGCCGGGCACACTTCTGGTGATCCCAACAAGAACCCTCTGCACCAGCTAGGAGCCACCAGCTAGGAGCCACCCATCTTCCAGAAGCAGGGCCCGTGGCAGCCCAACGGGAATGGCAAGGCTCTGGGGCCCACACCCAAAAAAGCCCCCAGGCAAACCGAGGGGAGGAGTGCAGCTTGGGAAGTCCCTCGACCACCCTACACGACGGAGTGCTACCAGAACGCTGGGACACCGGGCGTGCCCACCCCAGCCAGCCGCGGCAGCCTAGTGAGTTACAGCTGTGCTCCCAGCTTCCACAGTAGCGATTTCAGGTAGGAAAGAACACTTTATCTCCCCCTAGAGTTAAAAATCATAAAGCAAAAACAAAAAGTCAATGCTCTTGTGAGTGGTGTCCATCCTGACCTGAGTCTCACACTCCCTGCTGACCCTTAAGAGCCTTGAGCTTCGGCACCTCCACAGGGACCCTGAGTCTAGACCACTCAGAACCGACGTCCACACTAACTTCTGATCACTCTCTGCAGCAGGGAACCACCCAAAGCCTGTGTTGATATGTGGCTCAAATTGAAAAAGTGACCAGTAACAACCGGGAAAGTTCCAGTGGTATCTGTTTTCCAAAAGTTCAAACCATAAAATGCTTGTGACAATTCAAGCTTTCTACGTCAGGAATCTGGTGGTAAGAGATCCAAACCTTGGTCTTATAAGGCTTTTCGCATAGAGAATTAGACATGAGCCCTGGTTGAAGGAAGAACTACCCAGGATGTCTTCCCAGGGCTTAACGGACACTTCCGATTTAAGAATATGAGCAGCCTCCTGGGACACCCCGCTCACATCCTACATTCCTTGTCCTGGAAGATGTTTCTAGTGCTCTTTAATTTTATGTCTTCAAGAGGCAATCACCTCAACAGGGTTAAAAGCAAAAACATTCACAGCCAGAAGTCGTCCAACACAATAGAAAATAGCTATCATTCAACTTTCACATTCAAGTTTCAAAGACACTGCAGGGAAAAAAGTTAGACCTTATGGAGAACTAACGTGCAGTCTTCACTTTCCTTCAACCGAGTCGGCACCACAGCATCATCTTTGGCATGCACAGTCTTTGAGTAATAGTTGACTATCTTGCTGTCCAATTTATACTGATGAGGAATGCTCTCATAGGGCTTGAGGTCAAGGTCCAGCACAGACACGGAGAAGGCGAGCCTGGACCTCGACGAGGGGATGACAGGCCTCTGATCAGAACTGCAAGTAAAAAAGCAATTTCAGAATACACGGACCCTCCAAGTTCTCTTATCCCAGCTCACAAAGAGCACCCAGTCAGTGTTTGTGTGCATCCTGTCTGCACCAACTGTATACACTAGCATGTGAGCTTCCACGAAGTAATTACCTATGGGACACAGGCCAGCACCCTGAGCCACATCAGACAAGACGGATAAAGGACTGGAAGATGGAAAAGCCATTATGTGGAACGCCTGAGTGATATTCCCCAGGCCCCAGTGGCGGGAACGAATGCTGAAAAAGTCACTTTATCACGAGCCAAGCATTACAAAACCTAAGAGTTAAAAAGTAGTTCTGGCCGTTCAACAGCCAGATGGATGAAAGCCGAGAACAGACTCCTCTTTACGCACCTTTCCCACGCCTGGTGAGGAAAGCAGCCTTCTTAATGCTCCTCACAGAGAGAGGCCTGGTTTCACGTTTTACTCTCAAATCAAACCTTCAGTACTCGGTATTTTCTCTTTAGTTTTGTAGCATTTGTGAACATCAGTGTGAACAACTACTTGTACTTTAGAACACTTTCAGGGCTGGGCATGGTGGCGCACGCCTGTGATCCCAGGGATCAGGAGGCTAAGGCAAAGACCAGGCACAGCAAATCAGTGAGGCCCTCTCAAAATTGTGGATGTAGCTCAGTGACAGAGCACCCCGGGTTTAATCCTCATTACCAGAAGGAAAAATAGCACTTTGAGAACAACTGAATCTGGTCCTGAGATGGCTATGTATCTATCTATCTGCTTTGCTCAGAAAACTCAACACATAGCATTCAAAAGAGTGGCTGAATGAATTATAAACTTCATTTCGCCCAGAAGAAGTGTTCTGGGGATCCGATTTTACCATATTTACTGCTCTTCTCAATTTAGAAATCATTAAAAACAGAACACCAGCTGTGAAGCCTCCCTCCTGGGAGACAGCCTGTTCTAAGGATGCTAATAAAGACCTCAGCTCTTCAACCCGTTTCAGAATTCTGTTCATAGAAAGAAACGGTCACAAATCAGTTGCCAGGACCATTACCTACTCTCTGCTGAATAGCAGAGAACAGCAAATAACTTGTGTACAAGATCTTGGGTCTCCCTCTGGAAGCTAGAAGGGGACAGCTCACCCTGATCAGCCTGCTACAGAGAGCCCCGAAGCCCATGGTCAGCCCAGGACAAGGCCTATGCCTTTTCAAGAACACCTCAATTTCTCAGGTTGTAAGCAGCATCCAACAAGACACATAAGCCGACAGGAAGGGAATTCTAAGCAGTTCCGTCCGACAACCTGGTTGACCACAAGCTCCTTATAAGCCAGGGAAGCAGGTACTAGCCCCTGCCACCAAACATCTGCCTGCCCCCAGGGTCGGTCCTTGAAGCTAAAACCGGGCAAGAATCTCCCAAGGCACACATGTCCCTCTGCCATGGCCTCAGATACTGGGGCTGGGATAACCAGGCTGCAGGGAGCTGCTGCCCTCGCCTGGACAGTTGGCCTCCAGGGCCCAAAGCAGTAGGGAAGGTAGCAAGAGGGACGGGCAGAGTAGCCCAAGGCTGAAGCTGCGCCCGTGCTGTTTGGAACAGGAAATGGAATAGAGGACCAGAACTTGAGACATAGGAGGCTGTGAGCAGCTCGCCCTGTGATTCCAAAATCACAAAATGCCTGCACAAACAAGGTGGCGGACTTAAGACCTTCTTGTTTATGATGGGGCCGAAACAGAAATAGAGAAGCCTCTATTTTAGGGGTGTGGTAAGTTTAAATGTAGTCAACCTGTCTGTGAGCTGTAAATTAAAATTTAAGGATCTAAATTTAGTCTTAGGTTTGGTGTGCATTTCATGGCTGTGAAGATGACTTGGGACATACCCTGGCCACAGTTGGCCATGGCTTCTGAGAGCCACTGAGCGCCCAATCCCTGTGCACAAAGCTCTGGGGAGCCCCTCACTCCCACTGCCCTCAGGTGCACAAGTCACACTAGCACCAGTGGGGGCCTGCTCCACTCTCCTACCACCACTTCCACTCTGCAAGGTAGGGCTAGGCCACCAGTTCATAGCCCCTTGACAGAGGGTCCCTACTCTGGCCTTGCCCCCAGACTCCAGCAGGCGAAGCAGCTTCCCAGGGCAGAGTCCTCTGCAAATGCAGGTCAGAATTTCCAGCTTTCCTGTCACTCCTCAACTGGATCACAGAATTCCAGGCTTCCGCAGGCTTAACCTCCTTCAAATCAAAGGTTCATTTCTAACCAGCAAAGTTTTTCCAACACAAAGCTTACCTATGCACAGTTTAATTTTTAAACTTAAATCATTGTGTATGAAACACTTGGGTATACTTTCCTTTGTCCTTAATTTTTTCGCCTCCTACCTTTAAATATGTTTTCATGTTTATCATGCATTTACTTGCATCATGAAATAAATTTGGCAGAGGTCTCAGGATGAAATGTTAAGACAAAAATGGAACAAACAATTATAAATTTAATAAGCAAATGGCCACACCATAATTCAACTATTTCCTTATTTTGCACATTAACATTGTTTTCAGATTCTTAAATCACAATCCTGCTGCACAGTACACTGCTCAGCTTTGGGGCCTCTGAGATCCCACAGAGCAGAGTTTCTGCAACTGAAATCAATCAGTGTCCTACCCAGTCATGCCACCTCACCCCTCCCCATAACCAATTTCCCTTAACTCCCTGCCAATTCAAAGCAATAGAGAGAAGTCAGTGAATTGAGGCAGCCCCCGAGTCACATCCAAGCCACTGACAAGTCTAAAAAAAAAAGAGAGAGAGAGATGATCTTCCTTTGGCTCTGTGGAGAAAGGACCAAATAGAGCATTTTGTGGGTGGTGATTCCTGTACCTCTACCCCCAGTATGAGACACCCACATGGCAAGGAACCTTCTGGACATGCACTCTTCTCCCCTCTCAGCAAGTGCTGACTTCTGCTGGGCAGCTGGTACAAACTGGACAGGACCCAGCCCGAAGCTCACACCACGTGACACCACTGGGCGCTACACTCACAGGACACAGGTGCTGGAGGAAGCATGGTGCACATCTGTCCACTAGCAGCCTCTTACAGGCAGGCCTCTGTCAGTCTGTGAACCCACATTTCTTGCAACTTCCCTTCAGCACTTGCATTCACGCACTTTCCATTTCCCACGGCACCCATGGTCAGGCCGGGTGGCAAGTAATGTCTTGGTGGGTGTCTCTTATCTAATGTTCAATCCATCTGGGGGTTCCTTATAACCAAGTACTGGAGGTATTTTTCTTAGGAATGAGAGGACTTTTCAACTAAACAGAAGCACCATTTTTGTGCTTCACCTCAGTCGTGCTCTGTGCCTGCTCCTCAGCACATTTCACTCTGGACAGCCTTCAGTGCTGTGCCTGCCAGGGAACAGAATTCCTGGGAACTGTTTAGCTCAAAAGTATCAGAAAGATGGGTGGCTGACAGCTGGTGATGCAGGTCATCCTGACACAGCAACACCCGTCAGAACAACAGGACACTCCAGATACCACGCGCAGGGTTCAGCATCCTGGAGATCAGTGCTGAGGGTGCCAACTAGTGAGGGTTATCAAGCTCATCCCGAATTCCTGAAAACTCATGGGGGGACTGTAAGAAGCAGTGCCAGGAGAGACTGCAGACGCTAATTATTCAGAAGGGGAGCAGACCAGTGAACATGTGTGTTAAGATGATGGTGACAGTCTTGGAGCTGGCACGTTCCACTGACCTGGTACAGTCTTTGAACAAGGCCCACAGGGAACCTAGGCCACCTCAGGTATGAGAGCCCAGAAGGGGCTTGAGCTCTCTTTCAAAGCAATTCACCATGTTATCCACACGCTTCTCCACCCTTAGGGTATTTTCTTAGAAAATAACAATAGCCAGGCATGCTGCTCAGGAGACTGACTGCAAGTTCAAGGCCAGCCAGGCAACACAGCAAGATCCTGTCTCAAAATGGAAAATAAAAGGGCTAGGAATGTATCTCAGTGGTGGAACTCCCACCGAGTCCACTCCCCAGTACGGAAAAACAATGACACTGATAAAATACAATCTAAGAGAACAATCATCTCTAGTTACTCTCCAGAAATGTCTGACAGAATTATAAACTTACAGAGAAGCAAGAGTTAGTAAGTCCAATGATATTAAGAATAAGCTGTATGGGGAACCTGCTTGCCCTATTATTCCACAAACCCCTATTAGCCCAAGGGCAGGTGACATGCAACAGGGGCCTCACCTTGTGTCCTGCAGACTTGGGGACAGCGCAATCATGATGGAGCAGTCCTTGGCAGTCATGGCGACTCGGTACTGCTGCACCTGTGGGGAGGGAAAGGTCAGCACCGGGTCACGCTCACAGCCACCAAACTACCCCTCACTGATCAGCCAGGTACAGGAACTGCTTCCTGTGACAGAAGCCGAGGATGAGATTAGGAGTGTGGTCCACACAGAGCAGCGGTATTGAGGAGTCCCTGCTATGAGAACACAGTTCTGCTCAGCCCTGCCTGCTGCCCCCTCACATGGGCCCTGCTGCAACCTGAAACATGACTTGTCTTCAGCAAGGGTCTTTGAAAGAAAAAGCAGTAAGTCCTCTCCGCTCCCTGGCATTTTGGCCACACAGAGCACTGAGCAGGCAGTGCACGCAGAACACTAGGAGCACGACATGCTAACTCTTCACCCTCCACAACCCTATGGGCACTGCGGGCATCAACAGAGATGAGAAAAGTGAGGCCCGAAAGAATGAATGGCAGGGCTGGGTCTGGGCTCAGCGGTAACGCACTTGCCTGGCATGTGTGAGGCACTGGATTTGTTCCTCAGCACCGCGTATAAATAAATAAAATAAAGGTCTATCAACAATTTAAAAAAAAAAAAAAAGAATGGCAGGTGACAGGAGAGATCAAAAGGACAGTCCACAAAACGTCCACAACTGTTCCCTCTGCAATGCACAGTTTGAGACTTTTTTTTTTCCTCCTCCTCCTTTCGACTTTATGTCTCACTTGAAGTTTTTAGTTTGGATGGCTCCCGCTTTAAAAACCACAAACTAAGCCAGTCACAGTGGCACACGCCTGTAACCCCAGCAGCTCAGAGGCTGATGCAGGATGGCGAGTTCAAAGCCAGCCTCAGCAACAGTGAGGCGCTAAGCAACTCAGTGAGATCCAGTCTTTAAATAAAATACAAAATAGGGCTGGGGATGTGGCTCAGTGGTTGGTGTCAGGATCAATCTCCAGGCCCCGCTCCACCAAAAAAAAAAGAAAAACTAGTGACAAAAAGGAACTGGCCTTACAAGTCATCACTGGCCTCAGTGCTGATGACAGATCAGAACCCCTTGAACCTTGCTTCATGCAGCAGGAGGCTCTGCCCTGGCCAACCTCAAAGCTACCCCTCCCCCAGGCAGGTGTGGGGAGGACCAAAGAACAAAAGAGTGTGCTTCAGACCTCCTCCCTCCAGGTGAGGCCCTCGCCCCAGAGGGAACACCAACTCCTGTTCTCACACCCTCTTCAGGTTTTATACACAGCAGACACCAAAAATCCAGTCCAAAAGATCTGAGCCAAATATAAAAAAAAGGTACAAAACGTTTATCATGTCCTTAGTGCAGCTATAAGCCTTTCTAACCAAGATACAAATCCAAAATGCTACAAGATTCTCTAGACTTAAAAACTAAAGAGCTATTACGTGATATAGTCCTAATCCAAAGACCGTGGAAGATGGGGAGAAAACACATGCAGCATAAAACAGTATCAACACAAAATAACTAAGTGCCAGAGCTCGACAGACCAAGAAAACTGCCCACAAGAGGCCCCAAAGTGATGAATATATAAACATATACGTACGTATCTCCTATCAATACGGCCTTTCTTATATATATCTCATAGACCCTCTATATGTATGAAAATATGATTAATCTCACTACTAGTCAAAGAAAGTAACAATGAAAATCAAATTAATGTAACAATGAAATACTATGTACTCTTCAGATGGGCAAAGCTGTGCCTCAGGCATGAAATGAAAGGACACATTTTCCCTGTGAGTGGGGCTGGAGCAGGTAACTGGGTCCAACTCTTCTGCTGAGGCCAACTACAAAAGCTCAACAAATTATCAGAAACCTCAGCTTGAAGCAGAGCTGAGGTGGCAGAGGGGACGAAGGCGCTTGGGTCTGCTTTCCAGGGGAGGGCTTTCTAATTCTGGAGGGTTGTCTGAGAGACACTTTTCACTACCCTCCAGGACCTTGGGGACAATAACCACGATGAACCCCATCCTAGAGTTAATGTGCAAATAATGCTCCTTTAAGATGAAACCGGGGGCTGGGGTTGCGGCTCAGTGGTAAAGGGCTTGCCTCACATGCATGGGGCACTGGGTTCGATCCTTTGCACCACATAAATAAATAAAACAAAGGTGTTGTGTCCATCTAAACTGAGCCAAAGTCGACAGGCCCTACTGGGAACTGAAGCTCGACTTTGAAGAGATCAATCATCAAAACTACGACTCCAGCTTGCTAGAGGTTCTGAGGCCTCTTGGCAGAAACAAACCTAAATTCACTCTGGAAAAACATGATCCAAGGCTTTAAAGTATTTCTAAAATAATTGCAAATATAGTTTCTGGCACATAAGAAAAAAATATGCAGACACAATAAGACAGAACAACACAAATGTAAACCAACAATAAACACACGAGGGGACGGGCAAATGAGAATCTCCACACTTTCCACTCAGTTTTGCTGATAACTCAAAAATGCTCTTACAAAAAAAAAAAAAAAAAAAAAGTAAACCTACAATAGTGGACTCCCACTCCAGGGACTCCAGCTGTGGCGCCAGACACACATGCTGCTGTGTTCAAAGGATACAGACAAAACAACTTCAGAGGACAACTGGAAACTATAAAAATGAACCACATAGAAACCCTAGAACAAAATTTCATATTAAAAATTCAACAAGTAGTTTTAAAAGCATATTAGAAAAAACTGAAAAGGCTGACATAGTGGTTGATGGGAATAATTTCAACAACTGTTCACAATGAGCATTTCTCCTAACCAGCAATTTCCTTTTGAAAGTGGAGGATTACAGTTATGGTCACTCGGAAGGAACACTGTTCTTAAGGCCGCCCTCCACAGGTGGGGAAGGAGCCAACCCAGCACTTGGCACAGAGGAGCTCACTGACCACCGCGGCTTGAAGGATCTTCTACCGTTTCTTCCAAAGCAACGGCAATTCCCACATTTTTCACTTTTTTATAGTTAAAATGCTAACGTTACTGAGCAAGTAAAAACACTACCATAAAACCTAGGGTTGTAAACCTAGTTACCCCCACAGATATAAGCCGGACAAAGAAGGTAATCTGCAGGCAGGGAACAAAGCAGAGATGACAGTTTTCCAAACTAAGTAGATACCTTAAAAAGAAAGAAAATGCTAAAGAGAACTTCTAAACTGGAAGACAGATCAAAAGAAAATATCCAGAATGAAACATGAAATGGAAAATATAGAGGAAAGGGTGCAAGATGGTCTGACACACATACAGTTAGAATCCAGAGGAGAGAAAGTGGGCAAAAAAAAATCACAACAAAGGCCACAAGTTTTCCCCCAATGCAGACAGACATTAAACATATCTTAAAAAAAAAAAAAAAAGCCCCAAAAAGGAAAAAAAAAAGCATTTATAATATCATTAAATACAATCAGAATCCATTAAAGGAAACATTAAAAGGTGTTCTTCAGACAAAAACTAAGTGACCCTGTGGAAGCTAAGATGCAGGGCAGAGCGGAGGGCAGCACATGGGTGGACGAGCATGACCGGAGAGCAGCAGCAACCCTGGCTCCTGGAGCGGACGCGGAGGCGCCGACACCAGCAGCAGCAGAAGGCACCCAGGAAGCCTGCACTGTCCACGAGGAGGGTGAAACGACTAAATCCTAAGAGCTGACAGCTTGCTACAACAGCAGGAAAAGTACTAACAGAAAAGTAAAGGGCTCATTCCCAACTAACAGAGCAGGAAGAAGTTATCCAAACTAAGTAGAAAAAGAATGGTCAAGGTAAGAATTAATAAAATCGAAAATATACAGTAGAGTATCAAGGTAAGAGAATTAACAAAATCAAAAATCACCATAGTATAAAAGGATCAAAATTTAATTTTTATGAAACTGACAAAACTAAAACTTTTGAGGACTGATGAAGAAGACAGTGTCAGTCTGTCCGGGCTGCCATAACAAAATAAAGTGGCTTATAAACAACAGAAATGTCTTACACCCCCACCCTCCCCCCATACTGGAGATTGATCCTGGGTTGATCCAGTACTGAGCTACACAGGGTCTCATTAAATTGCAGAGGCTGATCTTGAAGTTGAGACCCTCCTGCCTCAGCCTCCCCATTTACTAAGATCACAGTTGCATGCCACCACACCCAGTAGAAATTTATTTCTCTCAGCTCTGGAGGTTCAGACATTGGCTCAAGGTACCACCAGATTTGGTACTGGCAAGGGCTCATTTCCTCATAATGAGCCGTCTTCTCACTCTATGCCACACAGTGGGAGGGGCTGATTAGCTCTCTAGGCTTCTTATGTGAGGCACTAATCCAAGTCATGAGGGGCTCCAACCTCATGATCTAATCACCTCCCAAAGCCCCACTTCCTGACATCACCACGGTGGGAGTTAAAGTTTCAACATACGCCTTGTGGGGCAGGGTCACAAACAGAAAAAAGACACAGCATAAAAATAAATACCAGGCATAGGAATAAAAGAACATTTCTCTGATCCAATAAAACATTAAAAGTATTACTCAGAAAACCATATGCCTTATTACTGAAAATGCAGATAAAAGAGACAAATTTTTAGATAAAGGAAACCTACCAAAACATGAAATAGAAAATCTGAAACTGAAGCAGGGTAAGGTGGCACATGCCTGTTAATCCCAGATACCTGGGAGGCTAAGGCAGAAGGACCAAATTCAAGGCCATCCTGGACAACTTAAAAAAAATCTCAAAATTTTATGTCTCAAAACCTTAAAAATATTTAAAGGCCTGGGGGTGTAGCTAAGCAGTGGAGCACTTGCCTACCATGCACAAAGTCCTGGGTTTTATCCCCATGTACCATAAAAAATAAAAATTAAAAAAAAAAAAAAAATCTATTAGAACAAACTGATGTATTAACCACATTAAGAAGAAAAAATCATATGATCTTATCAACAGAAACAAGGCATTGATAAAATTCAACATCCACTTGACCAAAAATAAAATTTAACAAATTTGATAACATTGTATTTTAAAAAATATTTTTAGCTGTAGATGGACACAATACCTTTATTTTATCTATCTATTTTTATGTGGTGCCGAGAATTGAAC